GGAAAGGAGTGTAGTAATCCATTGTTTCTATATAGGAAGCTGGTGTTTTCCTTGTGCATTTACAGAGAATTCTTGATGTTAGAGTCAAACATGATTGGGGAGTTTTCGAGGTTACCATAGGAGATTCAGAATCTATTGAGTTTGCTTGGTCTCTATCTGGACGAGTATCTTGTGTTGAGATAGATCCCAAGGATCAGGGATGATTTGTATTTGGATGAGCCGATTAGGATATACGGTGGGTTGCAAAGTCAATTGGTGGTAGTTTGAACCCAAGTGGGGGACAACTAGATGTTCTGTTTAGACGATCAACGACCTATTTGAGTTTTGGTTTAAGGAGAATGGGTCATAGGAGTTGTGGTTTGGGTATGCAAAACTTTGGTTCATGATTTAGGAAAGATAGGAGTGCAGAGCAAGTTGCCATCAGATATATGTGGATAGGAATCCAAGATTCGTCTTCGCGGAAAGAAGTTAGTGGAAAAAGGGCTCGTGGTATCCAATCAAAGCATCGAGGAATACACCAAGAGTCTTTTGGGTCGCTCAGGTTGAGTAGTTGCTGAGCGATTTGTCAGCCTGTATATAGCTAGATATCTATAGTCTAGGATGGGCAATTACTGATCGGTCGATTAGTTTCAAAGCTTGGTATATTTAGTTCCGCATGGGTTTGTTCAGTAGTATATCAGGTCATGGAATTAATTTCTATGTGTAACGATGTAATTTTTAAAACAAAATTTTCATTTTTCAACAACCAAAATTATATATAAAATATTCTCAAAAAGTATTCCACAATAGTTATCAAATCAAAACATATCCCAAGATCACAAAATCAAATCTCCTCTCTGTGTGTACGGGTCACGCCGGCGCCTTTCCACGGTCCTCGCTAGTACCTGAAACAGATAACACAACAATTGGAAGCATAAATTCTTAGTGAGTTCCCCAAAATACCACATACAACACATACACCACTCGAGGCTACTGTACGACCCTCCGGTTGATGTGTCTTAGCGGGACCCTCTGGTCCCGTAGCTCGCTTGACCCTCTGGTCCGGTCATAGCTCGTTGGGCCCTCTGGCCCTATCTAAATCGTTGGACCCTCCGGTCCACTCTGTATCGTTGGACCCTCCGGTCCGGTCTATACCATCATATAACATACATATATCACATAGCACACAACTCATTCGTAACACATAATCTCATACATAGCACATAGGACCCTCCAGTCAACATATAAATACCACTCTAGGTAACGTATAGTGAGAAGACTCACCTCGTGTAACTCGGTAACTCGGAAATCTCGAACTCCGTGAAAATAGGATCTAGCCTCCGCCTAATCATATGAAATAAACACTCGGCATCAACACATTTCCCAAGGCTAGACCATTCCCTCTTTTAGCACTCTCAGGAGGGCAATAGACCATTTTACCCCTCTCAAGGCTCAAATACTCTAACGCTGACCAAACCCTAAAAGTCAACAAAAGTCAGCCTTTTAGGGTACGCGACGCGTACCAGATCTGTACGCTAAGCGTACCCGGGCTTCACAGAATTGGAGTACGCGACCCCTTACGCTGCTCGTACTGGGATTGCACCCAGTGTAACTCCCAACTTTCTCCTCCTCTTCATTCAGGTCTTAATCGGTTAAGACTTGCGTCCAAAATCCAGATCTGACTTATCTAACACGACTTAATCCATAAAGTTGGTGACTTTAAGCCTTTGCATGGCTGTGGAAGTCACAAACACCCAAAACACTCTATTTCCAACCTTAAAAGGTCCATATCTCATGCATGAACAAACTTTAACAGCTAAGACTGGATTTTTATCACATAACAACACTAAATGAGCTAGTATGGGATAGATCTCGGCTTCTAAGAGTTCAACCACTTAAAAAGCTATGAACTTGGGGACCAAAAACCCTAAAACTTCTCTCTACAAAGTATGAACAGAAATGATGCAAAGCTTGAAGCTTTTTACCTCAAAATGAAGCTTCTTTCACTACTAAACTCGGATCCAAAAGCTTGAGCTCCAACTCTTCCTCCTCCAAGGCTATCACTTTGCTCCAAATGGCCAAGAACACAATACTAAGCCCTCCTAGACACTCCCTTGCTATATGAATGAGATTTAGGGTTTTGAAATGGTAAATCTCTGGAAAAGGTGGCCAACAAAAGGGACTTAATGTTGCTTAAATAGGGAGGCTCATCATATTAGGGTTTCTCTTCTGGGCCGGGTACTCCCCGCGTACACATTGGTATGTCCCGCGTACCTGGCGGCCCTTCCCGCTCAAGACGTGGACGATTATGCTGAGCGTACACCCCAGTATGCCCCACATACTCACCAAACATGCATTTCCTTAACAAGGGCCAAATGTGCCCCTTGCTCAAAGATGAAGGTTCATAACGTATACCTGATTTTTGGGATGTTACACTATGTATCCTCGATCGTTGGTCATTTCGTTCAACGTCCATAAGTAGGATGTTCTTTGAAATTTCGAGTTGTTTTAGTTGAAGTTCAATGAAGGCGTCAACCTATCGTCAGGTTACATATGTTTTATATTTCCTTTGGTCTCTGGGTATGCTTACCCTCCATATTGTTATGGAATTTTGGTTCATAGCAGGCTCAAGTTTGGCGGTTGCCCTTGGTTATTGGAAGTTTGGATGTTGGGATAACGTTGTTCGGTTTCCTAGGTGTGAATTTGATCTACGAAGAATCTATTTTTTGGCACGTTGTATCGCTAGGATTCGTGGTGGGATTGATCTGACTAAAGTTTTGGCAACATTTTTAGATCACCTTGGAAGTCTTCTTGAGCTATTTATGTATTAATGGGGTCTATTTAGTCTCAATCCAGATATGGGCTCTTGTTTTGATTGTTCATGAAAATGTTTTATGTTAATTATTGAGGCTTTATCTCGTTAGACCTTTTGGTACTTTAACTTTGGGTAAGGTTGTGGGTTCCCTAATGGTGTGTATTATGGTAAATTCATTGGGTATCGTCGTTAGGGGAGTGTGTGGGATGGACAAGATAGTAGTGGAGTACTTGGTTCGAATTATATGCATGGTGCTTATTTGGGTTATAGCCTTTGAATTTGAAAAAGAGTGTGACCATCTTTCCAATTCTGGGTCGTGTGTGACCATGTGTCGTCATATTTTGCGTTGGTAGCAGCCTATGCTGTGCAAGGAATTGTACGTGATAAAAGGGTATGGCGTGGGTCGTGTTTGGTTAGCGTCGAAAGGAATGTTGAATGGTTTTTTGCAAGATAGTAAGTTGATGGTTGAGTATCTTTAGGCACGATCGTCATTTGGTTGGGAATCTTAGGTCTTAGATCGTTAGTATTATTGGTATGGTTGGATGACAGTGTATTCTTCTTGAGAGTCAGGAGACTCGGTGACCAGCTGGTTTGGATCATGTGGTCAGGAAAAGTTATTTAGAATAGTATGTTAGTTGTGCACCAAAAGTCACTTAATGAATGGTAGCTATGTTGCACCCCATCTTCTCGTGAGTTATCTATTAAGAGTATGGTTTCCAGTATGAGGAGTTGGTTCAAAAATTTTGAGTGATTTTTTCAGGTGGAGGTACACCTGAGCTGATAAGGGTTTGGATACAACATGAAAATTTTGGATTAATCATCTTTGCTAGTTGGAGTAGTGGGTTGGTAATGACGTGTCAAGGAAGTAAAAGTGTATTTAAGGTTTTAGGTATAATTTTTGGTCTTGGGATTGGGTGAAATTCATGATCAGTGTCTTTTGAGTACTTCATTCCACATGTTTGGTGGTGTTCTTATTCAAAGATAAGGGAAGGTTCCACGTATGGATGAAAATCAGTCCTGGAATATGGGTTCAGAAGTTTAGGACTAATGGGTTCCCAGTTCCAAGAAGCATATTGATAGAGTTGTTTCAGTGGTTGTAGTTTTGAGAGTCCTCGTCTCTTTTTTCCTTGCTAGAAGTTAGGTCTTATAGCAAGCGAGTTTTGTAATATGTTGGCGTTTTACGTGTTTGTCTACAACGATTATCAAGCTAAGGCTCGTGTTGGGAGTTGCATTTGATGAAGGATTCAACAACAGTGAATGGTCAGAAGTCCTGTTTCCCAGTGATATCAACAAGGTAATTCAGGGTCGGAAGGGTTCCATATGATTCGGATCATAAAGAGAATTCGTAATAACCACTACTAGAAAACAGACCTTTAATGACATGATTTTTTACGACACGCACTGATTAATGATACGCAAAAGGGCGTGCCCTAAAAATAATGTTAGATCTTTAGAAATTTGAAGAGTTTAGGACATGCATTTTTGCGTGCCCTAAAATTAGTGTCCAATAAAAAATTACAAAGACGGAGGGTGGTTATCTTAAATGTGCATCCTCTACAAATGTCATTGTATAATTTTTTTTACTTAAACATGCGTTTTTAAAGGGGGAAATGAAATCCTTAAAATTTCTAAAATTTTGAAGTACCCACTTTCCACTATCTTCTGTAGATCTCCCTTCATTCTCTCTCTTTCCCCCCTCCCCCCCCCCCCCTATTAGGGATAAACCACCCTGATTAAAGGAAAAAATATCATATCGAGGGTTAATCTCAATATTAATGACAATAGCTTTTTGGAGTCTAAAAGCCCTAATATCAGGTCGAACTATGGATTATGTACAATCAGAGCTTGATGCTACAGAAACAGAAAGCGACGCAGCCTACCACAAAACCTAAATCTAGCAATGAAACTATGGAGGAGAAAGGGTTTTCTCTTCTTCATATTAGCTCAGATATGGTTCAGGGGATTAATTCATCCGAGAAGATGGGTGGAGGTGAAGGGATTAAGACGAATGCAACCGTAATATGTGCACCGATAATGGCGGATACGGTGGATCAGATGTTGATTCAAATGAATTCAGCGAAATCATATGGTGCTGACCTCGTTGATATCTGATTGGATAACTTGAAAGGGTTTAACGTCTGGGAGGCTATCTAAACCCTTGTCAAACTTAGTCCTCTCCCCATGCTTTTCACTTACAAATTCTATTTCTACATACATCGATCTGAGAATACAAATGCTGTCATTTCAGTTTCATTGTAGTCCCCTGATCAGTTGCATGTTGGATTCAGGCAACAAACAGGTGACCCTTCCCCCTTTTTTTTTCTTCTCCTTGAGATTTATTTCTCCTATCCATCACCTCCATTTCTCATGAAAAATTTAAAAACGCTTTTTCAATTAGGGTGAATCATTTTTTTAAAACCTGCATTTTTATGACTCCATTTGACTGTATATGTGATATTTTTCTTTCATTCTCATAAAATATGTGTTTTATAACCATTAGAATGTATTTTTTACAAATATATATAATCTTTCTTTTTCCTGTTTGCAAGGTACTGAAGAGGGAAAATCGCCAAGGTGCTCTCATTCCAATGGCAATGGTAATAATCTAAATCAGTGAAGCCAATGACTCTCATAAAGGGGCATTTAGGTAACTTCACAATTTCAATATATATTTTTTTGTTTTTACAAAATCATCCTTTTTCTTGTGTAACTTTTAATAGATGCCAACAGGAAACGATCCTTTTGGACAAACATGAAGAAGCAATAGGTAAGTGTCTAATGCTTCTACTCAATGCATTCTCTACACACTATGTGGTTTTCTGGGTCTGAAGAAGTTATTTTATGATTGAGCTGTTTATGTTGGTTTGCATGCATCATGAAATGATCGATTTGGGGGTTAGTCTTTCTATCATTCGATTCAAAATGGCAAGCTTAAATGGCAGTGGGTCTTGACACTAGGTCCCATTGGTCATATGTAAGCAAGATGATACCCCTGATCACATTGTAAATGCATCTTTCATGTTCCTTTTTGTCACTTTATTAATCTTGTTATTAATGTTTTTATCATTCATTATAAATGACCCTGCATTTTCAACAGTAGCAAAGTGCAATATTGCCACCTTTTTACCAAAGGGGCTCTATGAACAGGTAACTCATTTCAAACATTTACTAACTTTTTACCAAAGGGGCTCTACATACTGAGTTGTTTTGTATGGTGTGGAGATTATTTGTTACCTAACTTTATCTCAACAAAACTCTACTCTTAACAGAAACGTCTTCAAAATGATATGATGATAAATAATACAGCTGTCGAGGGGCTTTAAGATCAAAGGTGGGAATCCATTCCCTGGAAGAAGTTGCAGGTTGGGGATGTTGTCAGAGTAAGTATGCTGCACAATTTCTCTTCTTTATGACACTGAGAAGTCATATTTTTCTCACATTTCTTATTGGAATTGATGCAAATTTGAATGTTTATGTTGTTTTAGGTAAAGTAGGACACCTTTCGAACTGATTTGCTACTCCTCGCAAGTACAAACATTGATGGTGTTTGCTATATTGAGGTCTCTTTCCTAATATCAAGTTTATGTTATATGATACATGATACATGAAACCATATAGATTATCTTTATCTTTTTTATTGTTTTATGTATCAGACTGCAAATCTTGATGGTGAAACAAATCTTATGATCAGTAAAGCTTTAGAGAAGACATGGGATTATTTGACTCCTGAGAAAGCCTCCGAAATTAAAGGTTTACATCTTTTTGTTTAGATCGAATATTTATGTATTTTGTTTTTCAATTATTCTTATTTTTATTTATTGCATTGCAGGGATGCAGTCTACATAACACATAGTACATTGTTGGAACTGTAATATTTGCTGGACACAAGACAGAGGTTTTGAATCTTTCTCTAGGTTCAAATTTCCATTATTACCCCTACTCTTTCATATTAAAAATCTACTTTTAATGCCAGGTAATGATGAATTCCATGAATGTTCATTCCAAGAGGAATACACTGGAGAGGAAACTTGACAAAGTAATAACCACACTTTTTGGTGTTCTTCTCTCCTTGTGTTTAATTGGGGCCATAGGCAGGTAAGTGACTAATTTTTCTTATTTGTTTGTTTATTTATTTATTTATTATTATTGCTTGTAATAATTTTCTCCACAAAACTTTGTAGTGTTGTATTTGTAAACAACAAGTATCACTACTTAATGCTTTGGGTTAATGGTGACTCCCAACAGTTGAATCCAAGCAAAATATTTGTGGTATTGTTTTGCTTGCTGATGTGAGAGGAATTATGCTCTGATGTTTCCTTTTTTGTATTTACCTTTACTAGTTATGGTATATTTCTTTCAGGTTTTTATTTCAAGTATCTTTACCCTTATTACACTGTATTTGCCAATTATTCCAATTTCTCTTTATGTCTCTATCGAGGTAGGTTTATAAAGTTATATCCTAGTTTTGCAGCATGATGTTAAAATGATTTGTTTTAAATAGTTTTTTTTCCTATTTTTGGATGATCAAATTTATCCAGTCAGATGTTTACAAATGGGTTGATTTATCAGGAAGAATGATGACCTTCTTGTTAATTTAAGATGTTTATAAAGTGTTGACTTTCTTGTTAATTTCAGATGTTTACAAATAGGTTGATTTATCAGGAAGAATGATGATTAGGGTTTGCCTTTTCTTTCCAATGCCAACATGGTCACGTTTGCTTGTATGACTTTACTTGACTACTAACTACTTCATGATAATTTTTCTATGTTTACGTTTTCTAATCAATTGAATGTTAACATTAAATTTGATGTTCTTGTTTTCTTTTTAGGATATAATACAAAAAACAAGACGTAGGCTGAGCCAGTGAATATTCTTAGGTGGTGTTAAAGCCTTTTCTGATGGATCCTTAGGATCTAACAGTGCACTTTTACACATGGTGTAAATAAATTTTATTTTTTTTCTTTGTTTTCTAACTTATTGTTATTAAATCAATATTATTTATGAGATAACATTTCTTTCATGTTTCTTGTAGCCATATGTTGATGAGCCTAGGAATATTGGCCTCCAAGTTACAGATATTGAAAGCTTATCTAATATGACTGTTCAATCCGACAAATATGGCCTCCAGGTATTTCTTTAATTTTTTTTTCATTTATCTTTAGAAATGTGGTTGTAAATATGTAAAATAACTTACTGGTTGAGAAAATTTTTCATCAGGTTGTTATTAATGCCACTACAAAAAAAAAATGTGACTTAGTGACCAAAACAAAATGGTCACTAACAATAGAAAGAGTCGTTACTAAACGATTTAGTGACCAAACTTTTGGTCGTCACTTTTCGTCACTATAGGTCCGTCACAAAAACTGATTAGTGACGAAATATAAAAGCAATCACTAAATAGTGACGAAAATATATTGGTCACTAAATTTGTGACAACCCATTTCGTCACTAAATATCCTCACTAATCAATGAAAGTCGTCACTGTCTTATCTAATCGGTGACCAGAAAAGGTCGTCACTGTCTTATTCAATCAATGACCAAAAAAAGTCGTCACTGGTTTATCCAATTAGTGACCATAAAAAGTCGACACTATCTCATCCGATTAGTGACCATAGAAAGTCGTCACTAGTTTATTCAAGCAGTGACCATAAAAAGTCGTCACTGATTTTGTCTGATTAATTACGAAAGAAGCTCATCATTGATTTTTGTTGCTATTTCTTATATTTAACCAATTTAAGTAACTAGCATGAAACTAGTCAAAGGTAAAGATATAATATGATCCATTTATCAAAATTAATCTCATGAAATAATAAACATAAATTGTTCACAAATTTAATAGAACCTAGAGTGTACAGTACTTCAATGACTAAAAAAATATACAAAGTAGGATTATACAAAATATTCAAAGAAGATGGATTCAATTCTTTACCATAAAAAATGTAAATAGATTTGTCTCATTACTGCCTTGTCCTGCTTCTTGAGTAACCTTTATCTAAGATTTTGAGCATATCTACCACTAGACCTGTGTCATATCCTGCCATTCTAATCACCAAATATAAGAAAAACAACATTTTTTTACTTACATTCCCATTATAAACCGAGTTTCTTGATTTTTTGAAAAACATAGACATAAGTGATTTTTTAACTTGTTATGGAATAATGTGGAATCAGAATCTTCAAATTCATGGTCTTCAATGGGGACAACAAATTCCTGAAAAACCAAACAAACTTAAATAAACAATGTAACTATTTACTACAAATTGATATGAATATTGGTATCATATTTTGTTCATTAGTTAAAGAAATAGGAAATACCATCCAAAAGCCATAGGTAACTTGTGATTTAACCGTCATCTTTACACAGCTAGGAAACTCGGTTCCAAGACTTGATTGAAACTCTCCTGCTCGAATCATAGCAGGTGTAGGTGGAGTTTTGGAGCCTTTAGTTGGAGACTTTACTCCCTTTAAACTGCATGTTAAATGGGTAACATTTATTATATACTTTTATATAACAAGATAAAAGAACTTTAAAGCAAAATATATACTACTTTTCAAATGTTATAGAACTTTATGATAACAAAAGATATTTTTACTATGCCCCATAATAGATTATTGTTCATCAAAACTTGAATGGATGAAAGCACATACCTTTGACAATCATGTACCACCTTTGCTTGTCATTTATAAGTGGGGCAACTGTAGGTTCAGCTTCAAGAGCAGCCTTATCTGATATTATAATGTTATAATGACTAACATGTTTTTTGTTTCTTTTCGTTATGTTACTTGATATTTGACATCATATTTCACTAGATCTTTGAGTAAGTACTTGAATTGTAGCAAGAAAAAAAGAATCGCTTATCACCATCAATGGGTAATATAGACATTTGCTATGATTTCATGGGCATTTTGCAAGTAAATTTTATTTACCTGAGAAAAGACTTAGGAGCAATTAACCCAGACATACCAATTTAGCAATTCTTGTAAAAAGAGACCAAATAATTACTCAAATAAAGAAACTACTAGATAAATATTATATGACACCTTCAGATAAAGGGCATAAGGAAAAATTAACTCATTTTGCATTAGTTTAGCAACTATTAAGATAAAAAAAAGTAGCTTTAGTCTGGTTCTTATTAGCATGCATGTCTATTAATATTTTATATACTAACCTAAGAAGATTCTGAATTAGTACAATCATGCCATGATTCATCTTTTTGAGAAGTTTTTGAATCCGATTGGTCAATGTCATAATCATTAAGAAGTCCATCCATGACATGTAGGTTTGACTTAATCGCCTACTTAAATCAGCACTAATGGTTAAGGCATCCTCCAACTCCATTGGAACAAGTCCTAGAAAATGATTTTAAAGCCAATAAGATAACCATATCATTAACATACATATGCCTATATAAAGTTTGAATAAAACATGTTAACCAAACAACCAAAGATAATCATATTCATATGATTAATTCATGGAAGGGAGTATATTACCAAACATTTTCACTCGCAACTTTATAAGTCTGTTGATTTTCATTTTGAAAGCCCCATTTCACACCACTTATCCTTTTTAGAATCACCAAATACACCCTGAAAATGCAAAGAGTTTCATCACGAATTAACATTGAATAATTATTTGATATATTGACAGTAATAAGAGCTTCAATACAAGCAATGGCTTAAAGTATAGTAATACCAAGTTGAAAACCAAATGTTCATGTTTAAACCTGTTCAAATTTTACAGAATACTCTGAGTTAAACTCAAATTTTTCAATATTTACTTCCTCTGCATCTTCTATACTTCTTCATAACAAAATGTATTTTCAATATTGCTTCCTGATGCAGAACAGGTCAATGAGGAATCATAATGTCTGGGAGTCTCAAAATTGAAGCTTTTTGGGTGAATCGGGAAAAATAGCAGCACAATAAGTTACATAAGAAAGTATTTAGAAGTATGAGATTACCATTGAGTTGTTCATTATAAGTCCTTGCTTCCATTCACTTCAATAATCCGACATATGGTTGGATGCCCGTAAAGTCTTGAATCTGTTAAAAGGCTAGAATTAAACAACAAAAATATAAGATCAGATGTTATCTATCTCATCATCCAATCACCATTCCATTTAAATGATGAACAATCACACATTCATAAGTATAAAACAGTTAAAAATTCTTCAATGTCTAAGCACAAAGCCCCAATTTCATCTTACCTCAATTGAACAATTACGCTCTTGAATTTAACGAAAATAAAAAAACAGAATGAAGCTAATTTAGAAAATACATATTGAATTTACCTGACACAAAGCGTGGCGATGCTCCTTTTTCTTCTTGACTTGAAGTTGGAAATCTTCTCGTGCTTCTGCGTCTCTGGATCTCACGTTGACGGGAGAGGATGGAGCGACACTGGAGGAGTTGTGGACAGACGAGAGGAGGTAGGTCGAGCTGTCGACAGTCACCGGTGTTGTTGCGTATAAGGTTATCGCTTACTTCTATCGGCGTATGGAGTTGGAGCATGCTTGCTAGTTGCTATGTATCTATTAATGGATCCTTGATTTAAGGCAAACTGCAAATCAAAGCTAAGGGCATTATGGTCTTTACAACACTACCATTAGGATTTAATATAACAAAACTAATTTTTGTTAATGCTAATAGTATAATAAAATGTTTGACGGGTCAACCCGCGAATGGGTTGTGTAGTTTCGAACTTTCGGGAATCTAATGTATTTATTGTTAATTAATAGTTATTGAAATTAATTATTTAAGCTTTAAGAGCCGTAGTATCTTTATATACATTTACTCTATATTTTAATAATAATAATAATAATAATAATAATAATAATAATAATAATAATAATAATATATAAGTGCTGGAAAGTTCATATGGTGTTAAAATAAATGTGTAATGTGGAACTTTAATTTTTTTTGTTTAATTCACAGACAACGACTGCAATCGTTTTTCCAGCCCATGCGTATAAAAATAACTAGTGACTATTATTTTTAGTCATTAATATACAAAAGTCTTCAATTCAGTGACAACTTTGTTTTGGTCATTGAGTCTTCAATTTAGAGACCACTTTTTAGTCACTAATACCTTTTATGATGCTAAAAATATTTTTTGGTTTTAGTTCTACCGTTTAGTGATCGGGTGAGTGACGATCATTATAACATTAGTCACTAAATTTGTAGCATTACCAAAATTTAGTGACCACTAATTTTGTGGTCATTAATTGATATTATTAGTGACAAGATTTTTGGTCGTCACTAAAAAATGGTCACTAATAAGGATTTTTCTTGTAGTGTGCCATTGGAGATAAGGCCAATGACTTGATCTTGGATATGTATAAATCAGTTGTCTCAACATTTGAGTCATGGAAGTGCAGCCAAGTTTGGTGAACAAGGGATTATTGCTTCAGTGATATTATATCATAGCTTGTTCAAGTCTACTACCTGTGAAAGATTAATACAAAGTAAAATCATAATTCATATTCATAAAATTAGTTCCATAGCCCAATTTTACTACCTACAGAAACTTTTTGCTTGGAAAAGTTATTCCCCTAAGACTTGGTTATGTGGGTGTTGTAAATCGTAGTCAAGAAGTAATATTTTTCTTCCTTCAAAACTAAAAAACCAAACTTTATTATTATATTTTTTAATTAATTAATTAATTTATTTATATATAAATTAACAATTTAGCATTGATGAGATCTTTAGTTAATTTAACAATTTATAGTGCATGTTTATAATGAGCTTGTTGATCGTTGTGGTGTGCCTCAACTAGCAAAGAAGTAGAACTAGGTATTGTGAGTGTCTGAAGAATCTTTTTTTTTTACCCTTGTACAATGTGATATTTGTTAAAAGATACTATAACATAATATTTATTTGTTTCTTTTGATTTGCAGATTTTGGTGCAGCATATCAAAATAGTGCTACCAGGGTTGAAGTCTCGCATTAGTGCTACATTAGTTTCAGGATAACTTAAGTACATGATTTATTTCAAGGGTAATAAAGAAGTTTGTCTACACTCTACACTATCGACACCATATGGGACCCCCACATAGAAATAAAATAAAATATATTACTATTATGGGTTAAAAATAAAATACATTAAACAAATATATGAATACATTGCTATTATGGTAAAAAAAAAGTAAAAAAGTAAAATAAAGTACATTGCTTGACAGCCAGATCATTTGCTGGACGATGCTGACTCAACAATTAGAAAAACCGGGGTAGAGAGGGCACAAAAAGGATCTTATTTATTTCAGACACTCATCACTAGCAATGCACTTGTTGCATTTGGTTATGACCTAAAAGTTGTATATGTTGGTAATGATCCCCCAACTCTTTGTTAAACCTCTTACAAGATCAGTGTCAAATACAATATTTAAGGGTTAGAAACAAGAATCACTTTTCATGATGTTTCTTGATTGTTTTCAACAGGGAATTATACAAAAATAGCATAAGTGACCTAATAGTCTAGTTGGATTAGCTTGATCATCTTCTTGGTTTGATATCAATGAGATATAATGGAAACTCGTAAGATATTTACTTTTATAACCGAATATGTTAAAGAGGGGTTTGTCTGTATAGTAACAATCTTGTTTTCATGATGGAGGGGTATATGAGTCTTTTTACACAATATGCATATACCTGGAGAGTGATCAATCCCCCTGATAAGGATTTTTGGGAGAAATACAGAATGACTGTTTTGAATCAAAAGAATCCTTCCAAGACCATGTGGAAGGAATCATCTATCTCTACAAAGACATGGAAGAATTTCGTGCTTCAGTTTATGAAGGTTTCTAATATGCTTGAAGTAGATCCAGGGTTTCTTGTAAGAGACAGAGTTGTTTTTGTTTATGAAATCTTGGATTGTTGCCCATGGTTCGAGTTTGCTGATCTTGAGGTCAGTAGTCTCTTAATTCCTTATCTTTTTTCATTCTCCTTTTCCTTTTTAGTAAATTTTTTTTTTTAGGTCAGGGCTTACAGATCCTCTTTTAGGCTAACCTGGAGATCTAGGAGCTTCAGAGAGAAGCTTTTAACCTCAATCAACTATTTACAACTAGATTTGCAATCAATTCTCAAAGCCTCTTACATCAACTGGAGCTATAATGATGAAGTTTATTTTGATTTATGTATTTTTCTTTTTGTTTTTCATTTTCAGCTGGTAGCAATCTTCATAATCCAATTGCTCGATGGAAGCAGCCAACCAACATGGAGGAGCAAATAGTACGTGTATTCCTAAATCTTTGTTTATGAAACAGAAGAAATGAAATAAAAAAGAAGCTTATTGAGTTTTTTTTCTATATTTTGTTAGAGGCTACTCCAAAATCAGTTTTGAAGCTAATGGGACTTCAAGGGCTTACTCTATTCCACTTAAAGAGTCATCTCCAGGTGTGTATATATATAAATGACATGTTTACATACTCCTGAAATTTCCTATATTTGGCTGAAAACACGCAGACAAACTAATTTCACATATTAGTGCCTTGCAGCCTCTCAAAGTTCCTGCATTCAGGTTATTCTTTTAGAAAGGAAATTGTCAAAGGAGAATTTAGTCATGGATTTCTTTTAATGTTGTACAAGTTTTGTTTTCTATAATAAATATTGTGCAATATTAGCAATGTGTTACATTTACTTACTATTGGAATGATTATTTATGTTTTGACATATTAGTGCAATGAATTATCTTTATTGTTTATGTTATTTTTTTTGTTTTATGAGACTTTTAATATGTTATTTAATTTGAAAATGAATAAATCTATTATAATATATAATTTAAAAAACATTTCCATTTATGACACGCAAAAATGTGTGTCGTCTTCCTTTATGAGAGGGGCTTCCTTGATACGCATTGTGTGACATAAACACGTGCGTCATAAGGTTATGACACACAAATGCGTGTCGTCTTCCTTTATGACAGTGCCTTCCTTGATACGCATTGCGTGTCATAACTGCGCATCGTAAATAGACGACGCACAAAAGCATGTCATCTCTCGTTATGACAGGGCCCTTCCTTGACATGCATTTGGTTGTCGTCTAAGCATTTTACGACACGCACTGTGCGTCGTAAACAGCTGTTTTTCTAGTAGTGAACTACGTTCCGAGATAGTTTTCTTGCTTGAGAGTCAGTCGATGTATTGGATTTCCGAATTTTGGGAGAATTGTGATGGTTTTCTTCAGTGATTAAAGTTAGTGGATCAAGGATTTGTAATTGGTCGAGGTGCGTGAGTTTCATTATGATTGTGTTAAGGATAGTATGGGAAGGCAGTCTCCTGAATGAGCCGACTTTTAGTTCGGACCGGGTTCCGGGGAGTATCGTCTGAGTGGACGAGGTGGTGATGTGGGATCACTACCCTAAGTTACTTGCAACAGCAGACTTCGAGGAAGAAGTTTGATTTAAGTGGGGGAAAATTGTAACATCTCGGTTTTAAGTAATTTATTTTTAACCCCCTTAGTATGAGAATTGACTGCATTTTGGCCTTTAGTTGCATTTTCGTAAAATCAGACCAAGGCTTGGTATGTTGGGCATACGTTGTGTACGTTGTGCATACACCGCATACGCAGGGCATACGTGAAGGATCCCCAAACCCTAATTTTTAGGGTTTGGTCCACATATAAGCATCATTAACTCCATATTTCTCATTCCTTTTCCAGCCTCCACTTGCCATTTCATCTATCTAGAACCCTAATCCACCTTGAGAGTGTTCTTGAGATCTTATAGGTACTTTTGGTCGTTAACAAGGAAGGAGAAACAGAGAGTACCACCTTGGAAGAATAAGACACCTTGGATCTAGAATCTCATCACCATTTGGCATCATTTTAAGGTAAAAAACTTTGAAGTTGTTGATAACTTATTTAAGATCTTGTTAGCCTTGAAGCTGTTAACGTTTTGGTCCCATTAGTTTGGCATTTTGAGTATGGGCTACTCTAAGTCATATGATCCATCCTTTTGGACATTTCAGAGTGTTTTTGTGCATAAAAATATGATCTTGAGTGTTGTATGTAACCCATGCATGTGTTAGATGGTCTTATTTGATTAATAA